GGTTGGCTGGATTAAACCAACTCTTAGTACTCTTTAGCCAAAGTAAGGACATCGGCTAAAGAGTGGTTGGCTGGACTAAACCAACGCTTAGTACTCTTTAGCCAAAGTAAGGACATCGGCTAAAGAGTGGTTGGCTGGACTAAACCAACGCTTAGTACTCTTTAGCCAAAGTAAGGACATCGGCTAAAGAGTGGTTGGCTGGATTAAACCAACTCTTAGTACTCTTTAGCTGAAGTAAGGACATCGGCTAAAGAGTGGTTGGCTGGACTAAACCAACTCTCAGTACTCTTTAGCCAAAGTAAGGACATCGGCTAAAGAGTGGTTGGCTGGACTAAACCAACTCGTAGTACTCTTTAGCCAAAGTAAGGACATCGGTTAAAGAGTGGTTGGCTGGACTAAACCAACTCCTAGTACTCTTTAGCCGAAGTAAGGACATCGGCTAAAGAGTGGTTGGCTGGACTAAACCAACTCCTAGTATTCTTTAACTGAAGTAAGGGCATCGGCTAAAGAGTGGTTGGCTGGATTAAACCAACTCTTAGTACTTTTTAGCCAAAGTAAGGACATCGGCTAAAGAGTGGTTGGCTGGATTAAACCAACTCTTGTTACTCTTCAGCCGAAGTAAGGGTATAGGCTAAAGAGTGGTTGGCTGGATTAAACCAACTCTTGTTACTCTTCAGCCGAAGTAAGGGTATAGGCTAAAGAGTGGTTGACTGGATTAAACCAACTCTTGCTACTATTCAGTCGAAGTAAGTATATCGGCTAAAGAGTGGTTGGCTAGTAAGCTTAGTCAGATTGCTCAGTTGAGTCCGGAATAAAGTATCTCAGCCGAAAAATATTGTGTTTCGTTCAAGTTGCAGTTAGAAAGCAAGCACAAACAGGAAAGTAAACCGAGATAACAGTTGGAGCAAAAGAATTCATTAAAAAGTCATTACAAGTGCAAGCATACAGATCAAACAGGAGTAAGTGTTGAATACAAAAGATGATTTTCATTGATCAAATGCAAAGCAAATACAATGAAGGGGCCTCAGCCCGGTTACAAGACCAAAAGGAAAAAAAATGCTGAAAACAAGCAACAAGAAAAAAAAGTACAGAATCAGTTGAACAGATCATCAAGATCAGCATCAATATCAACACGAAGACCGGTTTCAGACGGTAGATCGGTCACGGTTGGGAGCTCGGTGTCTATTGGAAGCACGGTTTCAGTCGTCAGGTCCTCAACCGTTGGCTCCAACCGAGCTGATTGATCGTTGGCTTGATCATTGACGACCGGGGTATTATTGGTCTCAGTGTCTTCATCATCATCTGAACCTTGTAGAAACTGTTATTGAACGGATGCAGCGTACTCCGCCAGTGAGCTCGGTATGAAGTACTGATGAGGATTATAGACCTCGGTCTCAGGTTCACAACCGAGCTGTACCACGGCTGCCCTCCAATTGCATTTGAAGAACAAATCCTTAGCTACCTCACATTGTTGCAGTAAAGGGCCTCCCCCTCCTTGAAACCTGCAGTATTTTCATCATTTACCTTCTTAGTTAGCTCGGCAATCTCTGCATTTTTCTTTCCTTCGAGCTTGACTAGCTCGCGAAGGTACCTATCCTTCATCACGATCAGTGCCTTCTGTTTGTCAGCATTAGCCGAGGTAACTAGTCCGGTCAGACGAGCTACCTCGGCCTTTAGCTCGGCTGTCCTCTGTTGGGAGTCTTTTAGCTCGGTGGTTTTTGCTTCAACTTCGGCCATGGCTTGCCTTGCTGTTTTACGAAGCTCCAACACACGCTTGTGCGCAATTTGACTCTTTTGCATGGCCTGAAAAGAAATACAAAGAAACTAATGACAAAACCGAACAGAAAGTTGGAAAAATTAGAGAGACAAGAGGAGCTACTGACCAGGATCATTGATTTTGTTGCCGACCGGATGGCCTTGAGCTCGGTCAACTGCTTGTGATGCTCCATGTCAGGGGGCAGACATACGCTCTTAGCCAGGTTGAAGGCCAGCATATGGTCTTTGTCAGCCACCACAGAGTTAGTATGACAAATAGCACGGTTTTTGAAGTCATTCTTGGAGACCATTTGGAGGAGCTAGCTCGGTCGACACACTCCGGTTACGGACTTGGTGGAGGGCTTGGTGGAAGACTGACTTCATCTTCATCAGCAAGGCGTTGCTCGGTTTGGGTAGTCCGGGCGCGCTTGCTTGGGCGTGATGAAAAGGGTTGTTGAGATGGGAGGGCCACCACGGTTTCCTGAATTTGGTTCGATGGTGGTACCTCGGCTCGGTTTGTTTCAGTAAGAAGGGCCCTTACTCTGTTCTTTTTGGCCATCTCTTATTCGGCAGTCAAACGGACAAGATTGATCTGGGGCAAAGTGGGGTCCGGTTCAGGGGCGTCCTCTAGCAAAAAGTCTGTTACTCTGGCTTTGCGTCGGCTGCTATATCGATATGTCGGCTTAAAATCCAGAAGCTTGGCCCAACTTCTTTCAGGGTATCGTAGTGCGGCGCGAAGTGTGTCTAGGTTGGGGTAACTATATAAGGACTTAAGGTGGGCTGAATCTGCATAAAGAAGACAACTGTTAGTTCGGTTCAGAAATAGGAAACCGAAATAAAAGAGAAGCAGTCAAAGAAACCGAAGTAATTATACCAGGGGTTTCTTTCTTCCAATTTATACTACGGCCAGGGATCTGGGCTTGGTGATCTTCAAAATTCCCAGATACCCAGAAGAAGTCATCGTCGTTCAAGTCTTTATCCGGTGTGTTCTTTATTATTTTCTCTCGGCGGCGACGTATTCTAAGATAATAAACCCAGCCATCTTCTTTCGAACCTATGGAGTATTGATGGAAGATCTCGGCTAGACCGAGGTTAATGCCAGCATGGCGGTTTAGTTCGGCTATACCATTTATTATACGGTATGAGTTTGTGGAAAGCTGGGTTGGGCAAATTCTGGTTTGCCTAAGGAATTTACAAAGCAAGGGTTGAACAGGAAATCTTAGTCCGGTTTCTACTATGGACAGAAGGGTGAAGGGTACAAAACCTTAGTTCCCCCATGGAGTAATATCTTGCTTGGCTAAGGTGGGATGGACATCGTCAGGGATGTTGTACTCCCTTCGAAATTTGGCCAAACCACCAGGTGTCTCTATTAAGAATCTATGCTTCCCCATTTATGTCTTAAGTTATAAATAAATTAAAGCCGAGTGTTAGATCGGTCGAAGATTTGTGCTGAGTAGCTCGGTTGAGCGCTCAAAGGAGTGCCTGGGCAACCTAAGTCTGCAAAAGTGAAAAAAAAAAGAGAACAAAGATGTTAAGCACAGACCATTGGACCGTGCTAAAGAAAAATAAAGGCAAGATACATCAAGTCCTAGCCCGGCTATGTCAAACGCTACGTGTCTTAGCTCGGTTTGTGCAAAGTGCTTTGTTATCCCGATTTAGGCAAGGTACTCATTAGTTCAGTATGTTCAAAAGCATTTGCTATCTCGATTTGCGCAAGGATTTGTTAGCCCGGTTGAGCTTCTAGGGGCAGCTTTCTTGGTTCGGTCTAAAAATTAAGAATGCTGGTTTAGCCCCGAGACATAGCACGGTCAAAATTAAGGTTTCCCAGTACACTATTGTACAGCCCTAGTCCGGTTCATTAGCTCGGTTAAGGAAAGTATTGTACCTTGGCTTGTTGAGACTAATGGGGTAGCATGAAGCATTAGTTCGGTTGGATAGTCTGCCTAATTCAGCATTAACTACGAACAACTTTCTAGTCCGGTTGCATCATGATTTTGGATCAAAAACCAGTGTTCTACAGGATATTACATGTATTCGAGTGTTCTATTGCTAAGTTGTTCCAGAAATATATAAATCAAGTAGAAAAAAAGTGTTTCGCAAAAACACAAACCTAAAGCTGTGGATTAAACAAATGCGAAAAACAAGGAAAGCAAGGCAAGTTTGAGTAGCTTACCAGGGCAAGAGAATATGAGAGAAACGGCAGCAAAACCACGAAGCTTCTTCGAATACAGATCAAAGAACTCAGCAAGATCATATGCTCAGGAACGAGAGGGAGAGAAGAGGAAGTGAATAGTGCAGTGCTTGATCCAAATGAAAGAGTTTTTGTTTTGATACAAAGGGACGAAGGCGGGAACTGTTCGAATTATGCGAGGTACGAGGGCGGCGTGACAGTTGCCTTTAGCCAATCAGAGCATGCCACGTGTCATTGAAATGAGAATCGATTCAGTTGCTGTGATTGAAGGGACGTTTTGACCGGACAAGCTAAGCCCGGTATGGAATTTAGTTCGGCTGAAGAGCTTAAGAGTTTTAGCTCGGCTGGAAAGACTAAAGGGGTTTAGTTCGGCTGAAAAAGCTGAAACTTTTTTTTAGCTCGGCTGGGGACAAGTAATCCCTATCATGCTGCGCAGATGGAATTAAGGAGCAATTGAGAGGGTAATTTATATGAAAATTGGGCCGAGCTGGGTAATGGGCCGTTATGGGCCACAGTGCGAAGGGCTGAGTAATAAGGCCATAAAGTTACTCCGGCCCAAGAGAGGTGTAAAGTTACTCCGGTCCCAAGGAGGTTAGCTCGGTCATCATACTAAAACTTATACCGGTTATGGCACAGTATGGTTAGCTCGGTCTAAACCTTGCTAAAAGTTAGCTCGGCTTAGACTTACCACGGTTTGTACGGGAAGAACTGAGGTAAGGGCAGTAAAAGGACGAACCGAACTAAGGATAGTTCGGTCTGTTCTACGGCTAAACATAGACATGCGTACCTCGGCCACATTGGAGTCCGACCATGGTAAAACCATCTCACTTGGTTTAAACAGTGAGGGGGGTGTTGAAGGATAGGCATTATCTTTCAGGAGTATGAATCTTAGGAGGACTCTACATGGAGGAGTAAGAGTCCTACTTGGATTGTGCCACGCAGAACCTATAAAAGCTCACAAACATTACCTATGGAGAGGTAACACAACTTTGATTCCTGGATATACAGAGCTTTTGTCTTCTTGTCTATTTTACTGACTTAGGCATCGGAGAGGTTTCTGGCACACACCGCCGGCTAGCCCACGTTTGTGTTTTCAGGGAGTAAAGCGACAACGTTTGGAAGAGCGCAGACTTGATCAACAGGATTATACGAGAAGGTTTATTTCTTTCCCGTACAAAAATTGTTCGTGATCGCAAAAAGTGACTGATTTGGTTGTCTCAAGAAAGCTACATTGAGAAAGTTCTTGAGAGGTTCAACATGGATAAAGCAAAGCCGGTTGGTTGTCCACTTGCGGGTCACTTAAAACTTAGTTCGAATCAATATCCTATAAGTGAGAAAGACAAGAAAGAGATGTTGAAAGTTCCTTATGCTTCAATAGTTGGTTCTTTGATGTACGCCATGGTTTGTACAACGCCGAATATTGTCCACGCCGTTGGTGTGGTGAGTCGTTTTTTCTCTAATCCGGGTAAAGAACATTGGGCAGTGACAAAATGGATTTTAAGATATCTTCGAGGGACTTCGAAGGTGTGTTTGTGTTTTGGGGATGGTAAGCCGATGCTTGATAGGTTCACAGATTCTAACATGGGCGGTGATGTTGATTCTAGGAAATCTACTTCAGGGTATTTGATGACATTTACAGAGGGAGCTGTGGCATGGCAATCTAAATTACAAAAATATGTTGCTCTCTTAACTACCGAAGCTGAATTTATTGCCATTACAGAAATTTGCAAAAAAGAGTTATGGTTGAAGAAATTTTTGCAAGAATTAGGTTTGAAGCAAGAAAAGTATGTGCTTTATTGTGATAGTCAAAGTGCTATTCACTTGAGTAAAAATTTTACTTTTCATTCGAGATCGAAACACATTGATATGAGATACCACTGGATTCGTGATGTGTTAGATTCGAAATTGTTACAACTCGAAAAGGTTCACACAGATGATAATATTTCGGATATGTTTACTAAGACTTTGTCGAAGGACAAACATTTAAAGTGTCGACCTTTGGCGGGTATGGTTGATGTCTCCACCTATGTCGATAGGGAGAGAATTGTTGGGGTATATCTCCTTATTGGAGTTTGAGACCCAATTGGTTTATTAAAGAATTTTAATTTGGTTTGGTTTGGTTTGGATATAATATATTTTATATATATATTATATTTAATTTTTAGAGACCTAATTCAGTTTGGTAATAGCTAGGGTTTTGATAAAACAAACCCTAGAATTAACAATATATAAATATTGTTTTGTTTTCATAGCACATGGCAGTGGCTTAAATATAATTGATGAACAATTCGGTGAGTGGGCCTTGTGTGGAGGAGTAACAGTCTACATCAAATTCGGTGGTTCTTTGTGCGTAATTTTGATACTGCTACAGTCTCAGTTTTGGATCTGATTTGAGTCATTATTTTTAGGTCTTCTACAATTTTGTTTCGAAGACTTTTATTCATCTATTTGGTGAGGTCTTTCCTCTTATTTATTTATGATTATTTGGAATTCACCTAAGGGTGGTTTTGTGAGACCATTGAACAATTCGGTGAGTGGGCCTTGTGTGGAGGAGTAGCAGTCTACATCAAATTCGGTGGTTCTTTGTGCGTAATTTTGATACTGCTACAGTCTCAGTTTTGGATCTGATTTGAGTCATTATTTTTAGGTCTTCTACAACTTTGTTTCGAAGACTTTTATTCATCTATTTGGTGAGGTCTTTCCTCTTATTTATTTGTGATTATTTGGAATTCACCTAAGGGTGGTTTTGTGAGACCATTCGTGTCTCGTTTGTAATCGTTTGGAAACTTTTTGGTTGATAGTGGAATCAGATTTCGATCTCGTGGACGTACCTTACATTGAGGGAACCACGTAAATATTCTTGTGTTGCTTTGGATTTAATTTTTTCACATTAATTTTTATTCTCATTAATTGATTTACTTGTGGAAAATCACATATTTTTCCTAACACTATTCACATATCACTAAGGATACAAGATTAGGTCATGTTGCTGAATCTCAGTGGCTCACTATGAGACTCGCCTTAATAATTTAAACTGTTTATTTTATAAAATTATCCAAACAAATTTGTCATACCAAAAAAATTAGGTGACTGAATAATTGTAACCACATGATTAAATAA